CTCCTCACGTCTGTCTCTGGTCTGATCATCTGTCTCTCGTCTCCTTAAACTCTTCTCTCTCTGTCTCTCTCTCTGAGGCTCTCTCTCTCTCTTGAATCCTTCTCATTGGTCTCTTCTCTCTCTCTCTGTTGTCTCTCTCTTCGCCCACACAACAGTTTGTCACCGTTAACACACTCTGTCTGATCTGTCTTCTGTCTGTCTGTTCCTCTCTAACCACACACACAGTCACAAATCAAAAAGGTAAAACAACCCTCACAACACACACACACATCCACACACACACAAACACCACACACACACCACACAACAGACAAAGGCACAACACATACCGACACAATCCATACGCATCTTTCAACATCCCTTCCCCCAGCTGCAGGAATAACACTCGTACACGCCAGGGCCAGAGAAACAACAAAGAATGAACAGAGGGAGTGTAAAAGAAGGAAGGTGGGGGCGGGGGTGGTGGTTATTAAGAGAGGGAAGGTGAAGAGAGATATTATAACCTGTAGCTAAGAGGGGAGAAAGTAAGGGAGGAAGCGAGGGTGAGAGGGAGGGAGGAAGGGGGGAACTGAATGAGAGAAAAAGGAAAGAGAGAGAAAAGAGAAAAAAGAGAGGGAAGCGGAGAGGAAGCAGGGGAAGATAGATAGAGAGAGGGGGGGAGGGAAAGAGGAAGAGAGACAGATAAAGAGAGAAGGAAGAGAGAACAGAGAGAGAGAGAGAGAGAGAGAGAGAGAGAGAGAGAGAGAGAGAGAGAGAGAGAGAGAGAGGAGAGAGGAGGGAGAGGGAGAGAGAGAGAGGGGAGGGAAGGGAAAGAGGGAAGGGAGAGGGAGAGAAGAGGGAAGAGGGAGAGGGAGAGAGAAGGGGGAGAGAGGGGGAGAGAGAGAGAGAGAGAGAGAGAGAGAGAGAGAGAGAGAGAGGAGAGAGAGAGAGAGAGAGAGAGAGAGAGAGAGAGAGAGAGAGAGAGAGAGAGAGGCATGAGACAACCGAACAAGAACCGGCCGAACGAGTGCTCACGTGTGGGTCCTGCGTGGAAATGATTGTTTTCGAAACAAATATTGACTCACCGGGTGCTTGGGTTATCGTAGCTGCGTCACGGAACTGATCTCCCCCCCTACCCCCTCTCCCATCCCTCCCTCCCTTTCCCCTCACTCTACCTGCCAGCCCGGGATCACTCTATAGGGGGGGAGGGGAAAGGAGGGGATAAGGAGGAGCGGGTAATAATAATAGGGAATGAGAAGGGTTGAAAAGGAGGGCGGAGCTAATCGCCCGATGAATGAGAGCGCAAAAGCATCTAATATTGGTTCGGAGATTTGCAAGTTCAGTTACTTTTACGCTCATGTTTACGTTTGAGCACGTGAATGTAGAGCAGTAACTGCTTACTTACTTAATCTACTTAATTTGCAGCATAAGTCTGGGTACATACATATGTAAAAATATGCATATATATATACNCCACTCCACTCACTCCACTCCACACCACTCCAAACTCCACAGCGTCACTCCACTCCTGCTCCATCACTCCACTCCTCTCCACTCCACTCCACTCCACTCCACACCACTCCACTCCACTCCACCACTCCACTCCTTCCACTCCACTCCACACCACTCCTCTCCACTCCACTCCACACACTCACTCCTCACCACTCCACTCCACACCCCACTCACCCACCACCACCTCAACTCACACCACTCCACTCCACCACTCCAACTCCACTCCACTCTCCACTCCACTCCACACTCCACTCCTCTCCACTCCATCCACACCACTCCACTCCTTCCCCTCCACTCCAGTCCACTCCATCCACCACTCCACACCCTCCACTCCACACCACTCCACTCCACTACCCTCCACTCCACACCACTCCACTCCAGTCCACTCCACTCCACTCTCCACTCCATCCACTCTCTGCCACTCCACTCCACCGCACTCCCTCCTCTCTCCACTCCACTCCCTTCCTCTCCACTCCACTCACTCCACTCCACTCCCCTCCTCTCCACTCCACTCCACTCCACTCCCCTCCCTCCCCTCCACTCCACTCCACTTCACTCACTCCACCCGCCCTCAGGATCCACACACAACTGGCGTGTTCCTAACTCTGTCTCTTCCTTGATTTATTTTATTCCTCCTCTTCCTCTTCTTTATTTTTTTTTTTTTCCTTTCTCTCCTCTTTCTCCCCTTCCTCGTATTCTTCCTCTTCTTCATCTTGTCTCTTTATCCTCTTCTTTTTTCTTCTCTCTCTCTCATTCCTTCCTCTCTCTCTCTCCCTCATCCCTCCTCTCTCCCCTTTACTCTCCCTTTCTCTCGCTCCTCCCCTCATTCACACCCCCCCTCTTCCTCTCCTCCTCCTCTCTCTCTCATCCACCTCCCTCCCCTTCCCTTCCCCCGTCTCCTCCCCCTCCCCCTCCTCCTCCCCTCCCCCTCCTCCTCCTCCTTCCTCTTCTTTCACAAGCACCTGCCCCCCCTCCCTCCTTCCCTCCCCCTCTCACCCTCCTTCCCCTC